AATGGAGTCATGTAATTCGTGCGGCATACATCGTTTCTCTATTTCAACAGAAGCGAAAATATAAAAGTTACCTCCTGAGCAATAAAAAAAGCTAAAGTTACCTCCCCTGGCTATTCCATCATTTTAGTTTAGCTAGTTTCGAGGAATTTGTTTGAACATTTACAGTTTACGTTGACTAATTTCAGTGTAATTTTTATCAGAGGCCGCCTATGCTCATATAAAATAGCAGTTTTAGAGTGTGTAGGATTGATCTAACTCAAGCGGCTTGCATAACCAGAATATTTTTCAGAAAATCCACAATTAAGCAAGGATGCATTTACTTTGTCAAAATAAAATTATATTGTCGTATCCATAAAAAATAAATTAAAATTAATTAAAGTGTCAAAAATAATTATAATAAAATAATTATAACAATTATAATTATCATTAGGTCACTCGTTCTAAACTATTGTGAATCGAACCCACTTTTCTCCTCTATACCCACAAAAACGTGACATTCTCACTATCGGATAAGCAGTCAACACTGATAGGTCGTTAACACGTGCGTCAACAAAAATTTCATCTCCGTTTCCTTTTCAGGCCATAACAGTAACATTTATTTTTTAGCACTCAACAAAATTTGTGGTAAGAAAACCCCAGTCACTTGTATTTTCTAACAAAATTATCTGGACACTCATTACACATACCTATAAAAATATACGAGAAAGACTGTATACACTACTTTTTCTTTATCTTATCATTCTGTCGGGTTCCGATCTATATTTGATCTATATCTGATTCCGAAATCACAATTTTGCTCAGTATTACTGTCTTTCGTTTCTCACTCACCACATAACAATGAGATAATAAATAATAGCCGTTTTGTTGTTTCTATCTCTTCCTGTCTCTCATTTTATGAGTATTTTTTATTGGTTAAAAGCAGGACTCCTTGGAGAATGGGGTTTATAATTATTTACTCAGAGTTATAACTCCAATACAATATTCATCTAAATGACCACATTCATTTGCCTTCTGCTTCATAAACTTTTTCGATCAGATGTTGAATAGATTCACTAGTTACTAATAGTTATAACTGAAAGATGGAAGTCACATCCACGGTTAGAATTTAGTAAATAGCAGTAAAATGGAAACGAAACAATTATAATAATTATGTCGTTAAGTACTTTTAAATAGATATGATATATATGTATATATGTCACTTATCTGATCAGAGTGCCATAAAAAGGCATTTAACCACCAACAGTCTACAAAAATCCATAAGGAAAATTCTAGTTAATAACACGATCATCCCATAACCAAAAACATTTCGGCGTGTTAGAAGCATTCTATATAAAACATTTGGCACTCAGTATTAATTTTACTTTATTTAACAACGGAAACAATGTGCTAAATTTTCTTTAAACAGACAGACGCCAACTTGAATTCCAGGCACGTTACTTTTACGGGGGTCGGAACAGACACTACTATCATACAATATACATCACACAATATGTCTTAAAAGATAACTCCCTTTAAAATGGCTAAAGGGATGCTAAAAGAAAGTATTTGGAAAAATAGACACTACGGACAATTTTTACACTCCCTTACCTTTAACAAACGGTACAATTTAAGAATACTAGAAAAACTCAATAAAAAAAATCTTTCTTGTCTGTCATATCCAACGAAACATGTTTTGAAAGAAACGTTGCTGCCCAAGATTCGCTGAAAAAGAGCATACATTATGAAAAATTGCCCCAAACTTGATAAAAACAAAGTTTTATCATCAAAAGTTTTATATTATTATTAAAATTAATTTAAAAAGTAATTTTTGCTTATTTAATTATATTTTTAGTCCTTTTTAGAACGTTAGAAATTTTGGTTAAATTCTTTTTTTGCGTCCAAATGTGTTTTTCCTCGCAAAAAATTGATTTGGAAATTCTTGTAAAAATCAAATAATTATCGGATTTTAATGAGGATTTATTCACAAATGAATTAAATTATTTTACAAATGTTTTTTTTTTTTTTTTTTTTACAAAATCATAGTAAAAAATATCTTTATTTTTACATCTGTAACATAGCACTTATTCAATTTTATGATAATTCGAGAAATTCAATGAGTGTAAATATTAATATTTATAAGAATTAAAAACAGAACACCTTGGAGAATTTAAATCATCAAATTTTTATTTTGCAACCGAGAGTCTGCTTTGAATCGTCAAATAAAAAAATGAAATAAAACTAATACACTATTTAATTAGAAAAAATTTTAATTGCTTTTATTGGATAAAATATATTAAAGACACCATTGTCATAAGAAAAACATTTTTCGATCAATAATGAAGATTTGTTTTCATTTAAAAAATAATTAGAATAATTTATAAAGTTTTAAAATCTTTTAAAATTTTGATTCAGTGATGTAAAGGTTAGGGAATATTGTTATCAAATAAAAACTATTTTGATAAATAACAAATTGTAAAGATTATTACAAAATAAAGACCCCGAGTATTTTAAAAAGAATTTTGAATTTTTTGTATGTGTATATTATTATTATTATTATTATTATTATTATTATTATTATTATTATTATTATTTGTGTATGTGATGTTTCCTGCTTTGTATCCTCTACAGCCGGGTCCAAACTATGGTTCTTAGGCCCTATAGAAGAATTGTCATTTAATTGATAGAACTTTTCTTAGTATGTGAGATATTCCGAGTAGGGAGGTCTTCTGGGCAACTTGTATGTTGATGTTAGCTGAGACACTCTTAGTAAAATTGTTCATACCTTTTCTTATGAGACTCAGAGCTCCCATTACTATTAGTACAGTCCCAGTTTTCATTCCCCACATCCTATTAATCTCGATTTCCAGGTCTTTATATTTGAACAATTTTTCGATAATTTTCATGGAGGTGGTTCTCTCAGATGGTACTGTAATGTCAATAAGTATACACTTCCTGAATTTTTTGTCTTTTATGAGAATATCAGATCTCTTGGCTTTCATTTCACTATCAGTTTGAATTGGCATATCCCAGAGGATAGTTACATGATTATTTTGGGTAATTGTGTCTGGTTGGTGCTCATACCATCTCTCAGTGGTTTCGATTTTGCGCTTCTTGCATATCTTCCAATGCACATATGTCGCTACCTTGTATGTGGGTATATTCATTTTTTGCTCAGACCCGAGATAATATGGACAAAAGTTTAATCAAATTTTTCCGCATATCTTGTATTTCGGTTTAGTTCCATCTTTGATTATGTGACAATATTAGGATTTGGTTGCGAAGCTTTGCTCCTGAGCTGCAATAATTAGGCCTTCTGTCTCAGCTTTCAAGCCGCTGCTCCTCAGCCACTGATGTGTTTTCTGTTAGTCAACATCTGTTTCTTTCGTTCTTTTTAGGTATTTGCCATGCAACACCTTGTCCTTCCAGGGTTTTTTTTGGTAATTTAATTTGGCCAAATTGTTTTGTTTTATGTTTTACTCGTTTGGCGTCGATGGCATTCGTTTTGTTTTTTGTTGTTAGGGTTTCAGGTATATTAAGCTTTTTCTTGAAGAGTGCAGCTTCTTTGTTGATGGTGTGGATTTGGTGTTTTACTATTTGTAAAAGAGGGTCATTGATTTTTGTGAGCTATACTTCCAATCAAGTTGCATTATACCTCGGCCTCCTAAAGCTTTTGGTACGTACAGCCTATCAACATCTGATTCCGGGTGGTGCATTCTCATTTGGGTCAGCCATTTTCTGGTTTTGGTGTTCTATCTTTTAATGTCATTCAACGTCCATTTAATAACGTTGAAGCTGTATGTTACTACGGTAAAGGTAAGGTGTTGATAGCCTTCATTTTATTGGCACCATTAAATTCGCTTCCTAGTATCAAAGGCATTCTTCTATAAGATTTTTTGCGGATCTTTTTCTTCATAATTGAATGTAGCATCCCGTCTCCTTCATTAATTCCTAAGTATTTGTATATACCATCTTGGTCTAGTTCCTTCATCTTGTTATTGATAACAAGGTCTAAATCTGTAGTTTGCGTTAGTTTACCGCCTTTGAATGTGGCTTTGGCACATTTATCGATTCTGAACTGCATCCTAATGTTTTCGCTGAAAGTTTTGACAAAGGTGAATAGGATTTTCTGTTGGTTCTCATCCTTGGCAAGCGTTTTAAGGTTATCAATATAAAATAGGCGGTTCAGTTTACCATTCTGTGACTTGTGTCCGTAGCTGCTATTGTTCAATAGGCAGCTGAGTGGTGCTAATGCAGGGCAGAAGTGTTGACAGTGAATCTCCTTGGAAGATTCCGCTTTTGATATTGATTGGTTTTGATGTTAAAGACCCGTTTGTATGGTTTATGTTTCGTGTAGTCTTCCAGTTTTTCATACTCTCCGTCATGAATTTGACCGTTGTATATTTTTAGGCTATTCTCTATCCATGCGTGTGGTACGCTGTCGAACGTCTGTCTGTTGTCGATTCATGCTATCGATAAGTTTTTTTCTCCTTGTTTTCACCTCGTCCAGTATTGTTTTATTGACAAAAAGTTGTTCTTTGCAACCGTAACTTCCTCTTTTACATTCCTTCTGTTCAGCTATGGGTAAATTGTTTTTTTCTCAACGAAGTTGTATGTCCTCTCGGTTATGATAGAAGTGAAGATCTTGTACATTGTTAGTAGGCAGGTGATATTATTATTATTATTATTATTATTATTATTATTAATGTTGTATACACATTTCCTTCCGGGTTCCAACCAGTTACCTAAAGTCAGAAATGGCTTTGTGACATCTTCCACTGATCATTTTTGTAAAAAACAAACAAACAAACAAAAAGATAAAATCTAAGATCGCACACATCTTACATAGAGTCTTCGTAACGCGGGAGCCGTACTTGTGAGTACAATGATTTGAATTTCTTTAAGGCATGGGCAAACACGAATCCCTTCAATGAATCTATCGGAACCTTTTCCAATCAACCCAAGGGCTCCAACTACAAAATCTGAAATTCTTTAGTATTATTATGCGAAAGACTCTTGCTGTTTCAAAATCTGAAATTCTTTGTGAAGAGGAGGTATAGGGGTGGAAAAGAAGAAAAGCGGGTGGAAGAGAACAGTAGGAGGAGGATAGAAACAGAAGAATAAAAAGGTTGAGAAAGAGAAGGAAAATAGGAGAAGGAGAAAAAGAATAGGAAGAGGAGGAAAACAAGAAGAGGAAGGGAAAAGGAAAAGAAGAGGAAGAAGAGTAAAAGAAAACACAGAAGAAGAACATGAAGAAGAAGATGGAAACAGAAGTAAAGAAGAAAAGGAAAAAAAGTAAGGGAAGAAGAAAGGGAAAAAGAGAAAGGAAAGAAGAAAAGGAAAAAGAGAAAGGAAAGAAGAAAAAGAAAAAGAGAAAGGGAAGAAGAAAAGGAAAAAGAGAAAGGAAAGAAGAAAAAGAAAAAGAGAAAGGGATGAAGAAAAGGAAAAAGAGAAAGAGAAGAAGAAAAGGAAAAAGAGAAAGGAAAGAAGAAAAGGAAAAAGAGAAAGGGAAGAAGAAAAGAAAAAAGAGAAAGGGAAGAAGAAAAGGAAAAAGAAAAAGGGAAGAAGAAAAGAAAAAGAGAAAGGGAAGAAGAAAAGGAAAAGAGAAAGGGAAGAAGCAGAAGAAGACTAGGGGAATAAAAAGAAGACAAGTAGGAGGAGTAAGAGAAGACGTAACATAAGTGGAAGAAAAGAAGGAGAATGAGGAGGATAATGATGAAGAGGAGGAGGAGGAGGAGGAAAAAGTAGTAACGGAGGAAGAGACAAGAAGAGTATGAGGAGAAGCAACAGAAATGAGGACAGTACTATTTTAATTAATTCTTGAATTTCCATTGAAGTAGCTTGATATAACCGTAAGTTCTATTCTAACAGTTTCTCCTCTCGTCCGTGGAACTCTTTTTCAATTGTAAATTATTATCTTTAAAAATTTCGATGCAACGTCAATCGCGATCTTTTTGGATCCTGTATTCATCCGTTTTCTCATTTTCTTTAATTCCCAGTAACCCCTTGTGTCTTAGTGCCTTTTTTGCTTGGGATGAAATGATTTAAAAAAAAAGAAGGTTGACATAAAAAAAGAAAAAGCTGAACACAAATAGAAACAATAACCGAATATTCGGTATATTTATTAGGCATTAGCTCTGACAATGGTCATGATGAACATAAAAAAACGGGATGGATGGGAGAACAATTTATCAGGAAAAACGGGAATAATTGTTCTTTTTCTCATCTGATTGATTTGGCCGGTTGGGGTATATTAATATATATGATCCATTTTTTTTTATAAGCAGAATAAATAAGGTTTTTTTTTTATTAAGGAAAAAGAAACCTGATAAAACAAAATGTCAGTAAGAGTATTTTTCTTTCGAAATAAAAAAACATCATATAAACACGAGTAAATACTTTATCAATTCAGAAAATTATTCTGATTGAAAAAACAAAAAATAAATTAAAATTTTAAGCTTGATAACTTACTTTTCATTATACATGTGTGTATTTTAAATATTTTAAGGTTGTAAACCGCTTTGACTGGCGGGTAAACCAAGTGAGGTTAGGTTCAAATCCTAGATAATTTAGGGTTTGTCAGTCTGTTGTATGTAAAGACTGATTCCTGGCAGAGTGGGCGGATAAAGTCTCCTACAGATCCAACGGTCATGAAGGTGGTGTCAACAAGTGCCGTAGAGCGCATCAAAGACATGGACAAGACACATAGAAGTCCCTTCAGCCTGGAAGTCCTCCGTTGTAACGGCTCCTCGTTCCACCGGATAAAGACTCCACAGGCCGAGAGAGTGGGATTATCGCAGTGCAACGATTTCCCCACTATAAATTCTTCCCGCACAGTTCTGTTTTGAAAATTCATCTGGATCTGGTGATGAATTGCAAAACAAAGTTTTCGGACCCAAAGAACAACAACGATGATGATGATGATTCTAAGGTTATTGGTCGACTAGAGAGGAAAAGCGGAGATAATAATATCCTGTTTCGGCCGAACGGAATATATTGGATTCAGCAAAGGAAGCTCCTGTGGGAGACAGCCATTTTAACTGACAAGCGCTTGGAGAGCAATCGCCCTGACACCACACTTGTACAAAAGAGCAGCTATGAATGGATCCTGATAGACGTTGAGGTACTTTGAGATAAGAACATATTGAAAGGCAGTGCGGGCGAAAATACAGAGGTACATGGACCTAATAGAGCAAATCGGAGAAATGTACCAAGCAGCAACTCATGTTTTCACTTTTGCAATTGGCGTACTCAGGACTATTTTTGACTCATAAGACGCCTTGGCGGAGACATCTGACGTCACCAGGAGTGCGCTGGTGACAGCGCTGCTTGGAACAGCTCATGTACTGAGGGAAATCTTCTGTCTCTAAGCTGTAGGCAGGAGCTGAGACATGGCCATCATTATCCGTCGAAAGATCTTAGAGTCGGAGAGGATCTCGATTTAAGTAATATTTGTAATAATATGACTTAATTTGTTAAACTATAGAAACTTTCGATAAACGTAGGTGACGTACTAAATTAATTACGTATAGGTTATGAAGGGGAATTACCAATTCGAGGTTTAAATATAAAAGTGTAACTTAATAAATAAGTAAATAGACAGAAAGAAAAAAGAAATAAAGTCGCACAGCCAGAATACGGGTTTTCTGCTTTTTCATATTCAAGAAATTAAAATATAATGGATGGAAGGTCAAATAACCTTGAATTAGTAAAAGAGGGTTTAAAATTTTCTGTTAAAAAATCAACAGTTAAAAAAAAAAAACTATTCCAACACGTCAGGGTAGGGACGGGGGCTCGGGCAGGGCGGTCTCACTTGTATTTCTTCGATCACCAACGTCTCGAGAATTTGACGGCTATGTCTTCGAGAAGTCCTGAAACTGCTTCTTTGATATACCTGTGGAACTGCTGTATAGATTAAAACATTCAATCGAAATCTTCAACTCAGAAGAAGAAGAAGTTAAAATGTCTTCTCTTCGTGTTGATTCGATATCTATCAAATAAAAGAATAGAATGTTTATTTTTGGTTTCATGTGACGAATAGAATTATCTAAATAGGTTTATCTCCTCTTTCTTGCTTCAAAAAGTCCCTATTTTAATAAAGTATTTAAATGCAAATTTCGCACGTTAGAGTAGCGGCATGATATTCCCAACCTGCCAGGAAATATCACTGAATCATCGAGAGCTTTTTCTCATTTTTCTGAATAAGGCATTAAGTACTTAATATGGCCGATGATCCGTCCATACTGACTGTATTCTTTTATCATATAAAAGACAGTATTTACGAGCAAGATTTTTGCATTCATTGTAAAAAGCCTAAATTACAGTAAGAACATATACCTAAATAGGGTAACTGGGCCTCGCTTTGCTGTAATGACATCCGGTAGTTTAATGAGCTGACCGTGGTTTCTAATGTCAATCTATCATATACATTCTATATTCGATATACGTGATAGTGCTGAAAAGTTCTTTGCCCGACCTACCTCTCAAAATCTGATCAAATGACCAAACATCTCATTTTTAAGGAACTCCTTGGTTGGGCTGAGAGTTTTTAAGCACCCATCTCGTAAAATGTTTTTTATATTGTACATATTGTACCATATATATATCATGTATAATATGTAGTATGCGTGTGGCAAAAACAGGTCTATTCGTTCGCGAGAATCTTTCTCCGTGTGAACACTATGCTTCAATAAAGAAAACAATTTCTTTAGTGTATTTGCAGCAATCTCTATTAACCGAATTATTCATATATAGTAATACATACAGTTAATGTAAAAAAAGAAGAAAAGTAATGAAAAAGGAGAAAGAGAGAAATGCTGGTTAAAATGATTAACAAAGCTTATTATTCTACCCACAAGCAGCATTTAAATTAAGAAACCAGTTGGTCCAAATGGCTTCAGCCATAATATGAAAAAAAAATTAAAAATGGCGTACATCTTCAGATTGGCTTTTGTCAAATTGTTGGTATCGATCTAAGAAAAAAAAAAGCAGCCAACCCAATTCAAGCAAAGAGGATAAAATCTTATTTGCATAATACTACTATCATCATTGTATTATTCATGGACTATTTTCACTGTTCTGTCTGTATATCGCAACACATTCATGAGAATGAGAAACAAGCATTTCAGATGAGAATCCTTACGGGGCGGGAGACATAGAAAAACAAGCGGACATTTTTTTGTTTTATTTATTAATTAAATATATTTTCTGTGTTGGAAGGAGTGAATTGAGTGAATATATTTATTTTTTAAATTTTAATTTTTTAGCAAGTGATGATGTAGGGGCTTCCGGGAATGTGATCCTCACCCCACATGATCATCAGCGTATGCTCCCCGGGTTCATTAATTTTGTAGGAAAGAGTGTAGATATTTTTAGAGGTGGCCTTATAACTCAACTCCGTTGATGGATTTCCATTGGCAGACACCATACCAACATTCAGCATACCGTGACCTGCAATGCAAAAGGTGACAGAATTCATATAAAATTAAGAAATAAAATCCTTTTTTTACTCATTCAAAACGACAAAATCGGGACAAATCTTACCGTTTTCTATGAAGATAATAAAATATAAATTAAGTAAAGCTGTAATATAATGTCATGCTATGGCATATATATCATATAGATAAAGGTCGTCTTAAAAGAAAACTTTCATTTTTATTGTGTTTATTTGTGAAAATCTCAATGGATTTTGTTATAAAATTTTACCTGCATGAAAAAAAAGAAATTTTATTTGGTTTATAGAACAGAACTTTTATTTGAAATGAATTTATCTGTACATGAATTTATATGTAAATGAAGAAAAAAATACAAGAGTATTTAGGAAGTGTGAGCATAAGTGTCTGGTAAAACCTTGCGTATTCAGTTTCAACTACACCACTAAAAAAAACAAAACAAAAAAAAAAAAAAAAAAAAACAGAACAAAAAAAAATTGTCTATGTGCTGGGAATTTTTGCACACGCCTAATATCTTTTGTTAAGTTATTATATTTGGTACTATAACAGTCAAAGAGACCGACGGACAGATAAACAGATAGATAGATAGATAGATAGATAGATAGATAGATAGATAGATAGATAGATAAGATAGAAAGATAGACAGTTGATAGAAAGATAGTTATGTTGTTAGATCGATAGATAGATAGATAAGCTGTCAGACAGCTAGATAGCTTGATAGATAGCTAAGCAGTCAGACAGATAAGCATTCAAACAGATAGATAGATAGATAGATAGATAAAGCTGCCAGATTGATAGATAGATATGCAGTCAGATAGATAGATAGATAGATAGATAGATAGATAGATAGATAGATAGATAGATAGATAGATAAGCAATCAGACAGACAGATAGACACTCTAATAGATCAGAATTCAGCGTCATACTCACCGGCATCTTTTACGTCTAAAGTGATATTGGATAAGCGGTTGCAGAAGGCCTTCTTCAAACCAATACCTTTAGCCTGAACCTTGCTGGCATCACCCCGGAGCTTTTTGTTGGTTGTAAGTCCTATCTTTTTCTCCACAGTTTCAATAACCAAACAGCTGGTTTCTGTGAAAGGGGAAGGCTTCCGGCCAGAGCCTAGAGATCAAATATAAATTGCAAAAAAAAAAAAAAATTATATATCAGTTAAATTCACATGAAACTGACGATAAATATTCATATTAAAAAGAAATAGCTTTAAAATAGATACAAATTCTGCACATAAACATTTATAGAGTAGAAAATCATGCACCGGAAGAAGAAAACGATAGCATTTTTTAGTTCTATGCTTTGTGCAATCTATGCTTTCACTGCGATGTTTTTTTTATTCATTTTCCTGCATATAGAGACGATAAAGAATTAAAGCCCATATCAAATGCATAAATAGAATATATTTTCAGATGCACGCATAACATAAAAGGTAGTCTAATGAAAATCATGCCAGTAAATGCAAAATGTTTAATGAATTTCGGAGCTTACCGGAATATCTAAGAAAACTTACTCTCAAAATGAACGTAGAAAAATGAACATTTTACCTCCTAAAAATAGCTGTACATGTGAGAAGCATTTGGGAATGCCTTTCTAAAATGTCGGTAACTTGATTCAATATATAGAAAATAAACACTAAGATAGGGTTATGTTTTTTTTTTTTTACACTTGTGCTATGATAAAATAGAATAAACAATAGAATTCTAATTAATATATTTGGAAAAAAAATCATAGAAAATACTTTTTAAACCTCTTTCATCTTCGATGTTAGATTGAAATACAATATTGAATACAATAAATTTACTTGAAATAATTGATGGCGACTAGTGACAGTTATACACTCCATACTTCCCAATTACAACTATGCATTTTATTTTGTAATTTCAACATTTACATCTGTTGATTGATTTATCTGAAAAGAAAAAAAGAGTTCAACAAATCATCAAATAAAGGAAGAAATATTAAGAGTAAGATAATTAAAACTGGATACAACTTAATAATATTTGCAAATGAAAAGCGTAATATTTATAACATTTATTAAGAGGTCATAACATTATCATCCAAATTTCAAAATAATACTATTAAATAGACAGAATGCCGTCGATAACATTGCCTTTATTCGCTATTATCTTTAAAATGTTACATGTATGAACATATTGAAAAATGTGGAATGGTCTAGAGAAACAAGTCTCTTTTCGTTTTGGTAAAATGCTCACAGTATTTTAAAAGGTATAAATTTAGTGAATTTGCCTACATTTTCCAAAATATATTTAATTTATTCTTTTGAGTTGATTATTTCTTTAATGATATTCGAAGGTTTCGTTTTATTCCTTTGCTTATTAATGGTGATCCTCAAAAACAAAAATGTCATACTTCTACTGTATAAAATCAATAGAAATGAGATGTATTAAAGATTAAACTAATGAAATTAATTACTTTGTTACGTGAAAACTATATTCTATCTATTTATTTTCGTATCTGTCTATTTTTATATCTATCTATTAATATCTATTTTCATATCTATCTGTTACTATCCATTTTCATATCTATCAATATATATATATATATATATATATATATATATTCATTATCTATCAACCTATCTGTTAATATCTATCAATATATATATATTTTCATTATCTATCAACCTATCTGTTAATATCTATTTTCATATCTATCTATTGATCTAACTGTTAATATCTATCTATCTATCTATCTATCTATCTATCTATCTATCTATCTATCTATCTATCTATCTATCTATCTATCTATCTCAATATCTATTAATATTTATCAGCTAATATCCATTTTCATATCTATCTATCAATATCTATTAATATTTATCAGCTAATATCTATCTATCTATCTATATATATATATATCAATATCTATTAATATTTATCAGCTAATATCTATCTATCTATCTATCTATCTATCTATCTATCAATATCTATTAATATTTATCAGCTAATATCCATTTTCATATCTATCTATCAATATCTATTAATATTTATCAGCTAATATCTATTTTCATATCTATCTATCTATCTATCTCAATTAATATTATCAGCTAATATCTATTTTCATATCTATTAATATCAATTAATATTTATCAGCTAATATCTATCTATCTATCTTTCTATCAATATCAATTAATATTTATCAGCTATTTTCGTATCTATACATATTAATGTCTATTTTCATATCTATCTATTTTCATATCTATCTATCTTCTTAATGTCTATTTTCATATCTATCTATTAATATTTATTAGCTAATATCTATTTTCATATCTATCTATCTATCTATCTATCTATCTATCTATCTATCTATCTATCTATCTATCTATCTATCTATCTATCTATCTCAATTAATATTTATCAGCTAATATCTATTTTCATATCTATCTATCTACCTATCCATTAATGTCTATTTTCATATCTATCTGTTAATATTTATCAGCTAATATCTATTTTCATATCTACCTATCTATTTTCATATCTATCTATCTATTAATATCTGTTTATTAGTATTTATATATTTTCATATCTGTCTTTTAATATCTATCTATTTTGATATCTATCTATCTATCTATCTATCTATCTATCTATATATTCATATTTTTCTATCGTACATTTTTAATATATGTACAAATTCATAAAAATGGAACTCGGTCAACTTAAGGCATTATTCTTTTATTTGGTCTCATGCTTCTTGTTTATATATGTATAAAGAATATCGAACACTTAATATTTTAGCAATGATAGGCGGATTATAACCTTAAAATTATGATTGTTGAATAGAGTATATTCTATTTTCTTACTGGCTTTCCAATTTCTTTAGATGGAAAAACAACTGCGATGTGAGCACATATAAATTGTATAGAATTCAGCTCATTGTTCATTATCAAGCGAGTTTCAATCTTACTTTCTTTTAAACTGTTGATGCTAAAGTTATGCTTCGGATGCATCCATGTCTTTTCACAGATAATAATTAACCAAAGAATAAATGCATGAAGTTGACTAGCAGTAAAAATGACATAAGTGCATAATGGCGTCAAAAAATTATATTAAATAAAAAACAATGAATCACTATGATTTTAATTAATTACTTAATACGAATTTAGCATTCATAAATCATTTACCGTTTTAGCCTTTAACAATGCTGCAAAATAAAACGTATGACTTGTTAACGTACAATATATTTATAAACATGAATATATATATATATATATTTAAACACATAGACATATATATATATATATATATATATAATCTTAACAGTTTATACATATAACAAAAGCAATTTAGATATATATGTATGTATGTGCATATACAGTAGTGACAAAAAATTTCAGACACTACCTAAAATCGTCAAGAATAAAATATTATATTACTAAATACAAAATAATTAATGTGGTTTTAAAATATTAAATATGTCATTTCATATTTAATAAATATTAATTGTTTCAATCATTCTCCTATTATATATTTTTTACATACGGATGAGTTTAGGCAGTGTTCAAGAACCCTTTGAGGCTACTGTATATGCATAAATATTTCGATACTGCGCTTTGTTGCAGCCAAATCTATAAACGACACATGTACATACCAATCGCGTTTTATATGCAGTTAAGCGTATAAAGGTACATATGTATATAGATGCATATTTAAATACTACTGAAGCAGCTACAATGCCATTTCTCAAAGCAATTAAAAGCTTATAATAATAATAATAATAATAATAATAATAATAATAATAACGATAAAAGATGCAGGTATGAAGAAGAATAAAATACATTGTAGTTATTTGCCGTTGTTTGAATAAAAAAGATAAGTAAAAGAAAGTTTTAGGAAAAAAGTTTCGATTATGAAAGCAACTGACAGAGATGTAACTTTGTGTTTATCTTTGTGTTTAACGTTCGTTTTTATTTAAAAAAAATGAGTATATGATGTTTAATGTTGAAATTTCATACAATTGTTATTCAAACATGCGCGGCTTATTCAGGTTAACATCATGCAATAGAACAAGAAAATCGCGGGAGAGTAGATTAAAATTCCGTCTTGAATTATGAATAAGAAGAAAAATGTTGAAATACATTGCTTGTCAGTTTCGTAACATACTTAGAAATTCAAAGATACACGACTCTAGTGACAGCTAAGAGAGTAGTGGGATCATAATGCGCCATATTTCTGAGGAAGGTGATTATGTTTGTTTTGTGAATAGATGATCGAAGTAATCTGGTTTATATCTAGGTTCGACCATTCGTGTCGAAGAGAAATAGACAACCATTTCTTTACCAGATTAGCTTTCGATGACAATGATGAAAAAGTTTTGGAGAATTGAACCACTGGGACATCTCGGGGTATATAAAAAGAGAATTTTGGGGGCATGAGGAAGAGAAAAAAATGATTTTCTTAGCTTTCCAATAGGCTTTTCCAATATCTTGATGCGTTGTGAATATCGATTTTCTTTTGGAAAACCGATTTCAGGCGTGGCGCTCTCAATACATCCTCTCACTCTCTGAAACAACTTGTACAGCTAAGTTAGACGAGTTCTTAAGGATCTGGATATTGTTGGCTAGAACAATAATTTTGATAGAGACACTCCCACGACATAAAAAATAACCAACGAAATACAATTTTAAAAAGCAATTGATAATGTTGCTCCATGAACGAAGCGAAATTTTCTTCAAAGTTCTTACGAGAACGAAATACTCGCGTTTTTCTCTGTTGAACGTGGTCTGAAATTATAAGGAAATTATTATTATAATTACTGTTGTTATTATCATCTAATATAACCTGCCTTTAACTTCTCCTTTTACACGAAATAATTGCTGATATTCAGTGTGCTAATTGATATTTTTACTGTTGTAGCATTCTTCACTCTTGTGGGAAAAATCTGCAATGTGATTACAATTTTTCTGTAGGTTAGTGAACTAAAAAACATTGAAATATAATTGGTGTCTTTTCCCTATCGTTGCGAACAACTCGGAACATTTAATCATCTATCAAACATTATAATTAAAATAGGTAGAAAATTACACATTGGTTTTTATCTGATGATTCATTTCCTGGTTAAAAAAGATTTTAGCAAAATTCAACGGTTGA